TGTTCAAGGGCACATACCATGCCGTATTAGACAGTAGCTGTAGCTTTTTCCTCCCATTTGACCCATCCAAGAATTAGGTGCTCTGCCAAGAGATCAAATTTGAAGTCAACACAACAGCTAACAATGTGTTCTGAGGAAGGGCATGAAACACATTTCAGTTCCACAGATGAATTTGAATTGTGGGGTCAGAGAAAACATTTTGCCATATTTTCCAAGTCTCCAACAAATTAGGAAGCCCAGGTCTTTATTTGGCAGAAGGCCCACATTCTAAGGCATCCAGCGAAATACATTGAAGATTTTTTTCTGCCAAATAAAAATGATAGTTCTTAGTGTCAAGGGAAGGCTTGGCAATGTAGCACTTGCAAAACATCTCTTTCATCTGCCCCAGGAAAGAGCTGACTATACCTTCCAGCCTGGGATTCTCTGAGGGGGATCTATAAGATGCTACAGATGCAGGTGAGGAGGATTTTCTTGGCTCTGTGACAATGTGCTAAGGCTTGGTGCTTCCCCAGTGGGCCCCTCAAAGGAAAAGGTTTGTCTTTCAAGTTTTGTAGGTTTGCTCCAGACATTCTATTTGCTGTTCTGTGTGGGGTTCACTTGTTATTACAACTTCTTTTACCTGATTTCCAAGATTGCTGTCTTCAAGATCACCTAGACTGGAGATCTGCTATCACTGCCACTTGGATTAGAAACTCTCCTTTTCCATATCAAAGCATCCCCATGACATGAACCCTCAAACTCTGGCCTGTTCCTTGAATCCATCCCATCCTGTTCCCTGGCCGTTGTCCTGGTTTATGTTTCCTTGTTGCCTGCCCAGACTGCTGAACCAGCTTACTAACTGATCATCTACACTGCTGCCAGAGTGAGATCTCTAAAATATAGATCCCATTGGGTTACTTTCCTGGTTTCAGGACTTTTATTGACTCCCCCCTGTGATCTATATAGTGTATTTATAAACCCTTTCTCCAGGATTGAAACAGAAGAACCCCAGTTTTTTTCAGTGAGGTGTTATAAGAAGCCTCAAGATATAAAACAGATAAAGTCTAAGCTGCTCTGGGTAAGGCAAGGACAGAGGCCTCAGAGCCTGCTCTGAAGTCCTCCAGCCCTGCCCCTATGGGTTCAAGGCAGCTCCGAGGAATCCTGGAGCTCTTCTGGACACAGTTGGGATGCTGCTGCCCAATGGAAGGATGTCTATGCTTCTTGGCTTGGCATAGCAGGCCCTACAGAATATGCCCCAGCCCACCCTTCTGGCCTTATCACCTACCACTTCACTGCACACACTCCCCATCCCCCTGCTACACAAATCACACATGACCCCAATATGCCAGGCATTTGAGGCTCCATGCTGCAGCCCATGCAGCTTCCTTGGCCTGGTGTCTTCCTACTTATCCCTGTCTGGACAATCCTAATTGTCCTTCCAGGTTTCACTCCAATGTCATCCTGTATGGAGCCCTCTCTTACAAACAACTCAGACAGAGCACACCCCACCCTCCCATGGGAACTCTGTTAGGGTGAACTATTTAACCACTTATGACAACTGTTACCTAGACCTGTTTCTCTTAGCAATATCATCTTTCTAATCCCGGCCCAGATTATCAATAAATGTGTGTAACATTACAAAGTGAAGACTATGTCCTTTATTCGTTTGTCAACAGAGGTGACTGAGCCATACACAATTCCTTGAGGAATCCTGAGACCCTTCAGAGGAAGCAAGAGGCCAAAGAGTCCCGAACTGGAAATCTGAGCTCTTGGGTTCTCATTCTGGCTCTGTCCCAAACTAAGTCTTTAAATTCGGCTCTACGCTGCCATGGTTTTAGTGCTCTTGGCATAACGATAAATGATGATTCTAATGGCTAGTATTTGTAAAGCAGCTACCACATGCAGGCAGACACTGCTGTAAGTGTTTTTCATGGATTAACTCATTTTTGCTTTACAGAACAAAGGACAAATAAAGCATTTACTAGATTGAACCCTTTCTCCAGCTGCATTTGGGACTGAAAGAGACTTTACAGGGATGAGGAAACCGAGACGTATGTGAAATGACTGCTCAGGTGACTCAGCTGGGGGTAGAACTGGTTGATGGCAGGTATCCTGGCTTTCAGGTGGATATGCTTTCATCCACATAACACCGCCCTGTGGGAGTAGCCTGGGTATTGAGCAGAGCCACACTTGTCCCTGCAAAATGTTTTACAAAGCTTCAACAGAGATGTGACACTCAGCTATCGACACAACTCAATACATAGAGAAATATTTCCTAACTTCAAAAGTTAAATGATTTCATTCAAATTTGGTTTACTTTTTAAATTACCATATAGTAAGGACTACATTCACATAAAATAATTTATTTAACAAGGATACAAATGGTGCCAATAAAACCTAGGGTAGAAAAACTTCCTATCCCCAGCTACAGACATGCTGGTGAGATCCTATCCAGGCGGAGTGGCTCCTTTCACTGTAGTTAAGGCTGTTACCACGTGGCTTCAAGGACATGGTGTCCATGACCCTCTGCTGTACATCAGATCATAATTTTCTTAAAAGCATGGTTCAATTTAAAGTGCATTTCTCGAGAGGCAGGCAGCACGGTATCACAGAAAGAGAAGTGAATCTGAAGTCAAAACTCCTGCCATTGACCAAGTGACCCTGGGGAAATCAGTTAAAATGGCCAAGTCTCAGATTTGTCCAGTGGAAAATATTATCAAGTCTATTGGTCCTTCCTAGCTGGGGTTGCTGTGATACTTCAAGGAGGTGTGAATGAAGAGGATTGGTGTGGGTAAATACTCATTTTTCTTCTTTAAGGAATGGTCACACTTGTCGAATGCTATCCAGAACTGTTTCCTCATTGCAACCCTGCCTTAGTCTCTTCTGGATGCCATTAACAAAATACCACGGATTGGGTGGCACATAAATGAAAGAAATTTATTTCTCACCATTTTGAAGCCTAAGAAGTCTGAGATCAAGACACCAGTTTTGGTGTCTGGTGAGGATCTTCGTCCTTGTTCAGAGATGGCCATCTTTTCACTGTGTCCTCACATGGCAGAAGTGATGAGGAAGTTCTCTGGGGCTCCTTTTAGAAGGGCACTAATCCCATTGATGAGGGCTCCACCATTATGGCCTAATCACCTCCCAAAGGTCCTCCCCATACCATCACCTTGAGGGTTAGAATTTTAACATATGAATTTGGGGGAAACACAAACCTTCAGACCATAGCAACCCCAGGGAAGGGAAGTGACTTAGCCAGGATCCACAGTATGGTGTGGACAAAACAGAGCTTGGGGTCAAGCTTTCTAGCACTCTATCCTTAAACTATTTAGGATTACATTAATTTCATTCTTTTCTTAAGCTAGGAATCTGCAGAAATATTTGGAAATTCATATATTACTTTAAGTCTTAACACTTTGTTTTTGAGACAGTCTCACTCTGTTACCCAGGCTGGAATGCAGTGACACAATCATGGCTCACTGCAGCCTCAAATTCCTGCACTCAAGCAATCCTCCTATCTCAGCCTCCTGAGTAGCTGGGACTACAAATGCACCCACCATGCCCAGCTAATTTGTAAAAATTTTTTATAGAGGCAGGATCTCTCTATGTTGCCCAGGCTGGTCTAAGTCCTGGGCTCAAGGGATCCTCCTGCCTTGCCTTCCCAACATGCTGGGATTACGGGCATGAGCCACCACCCAGCCCAAGTCTTAAAACTTTTAACTGATGCTTAGCATGGCACCGAAATAGTATTTATTGAATGTATTCTGGTGCCAACCTCTGGATGCATAATTTCACCTGACCTTCACAACAGTCCTGCAATGCTGGTATCATCAGGCCCCCCTTCCCATTCCACCTTGGTGGAACTGGAGGTGGGGAAGGTTAGGGAATTTGCCCAATAGTCCATGAGTGAAGAGTGGTGGAGGAGATTCAAATTCATTTTCTCTACCAATCCAGTGCTTTTCCCATTAGCCAAGGGTGCCTCAACAAGAAACAAGAATCCCACAAAACTGGAGGGAAAGGGCAAAACACAATGTGATTTCAGCATGGCGTTCATTGATGCTATTGCAAAAATGTGCATGCAGCATTCATATTTTGACTATAGCAGTAATTACCATATTAGGGAATAGAGTCATCTCCTTCCTATTCTAAAAATCTTAAAATATAAACATAAAGCATACTTTGGGCTTGCTAACTTAAAACGACAAAAGGGTGGTGTCGCCTTTTTTTTTTTTTTTTTTTTTTAGATGGAGTCTTGCTCTGACGCCCAGGCTGGAGTGCACGGGCCCTTGGCTCACTGCAACCTCCGTCTCCCGGGTTCAAGCGATTCCCCTGCCTCAGGCTTCGAAGTAGCTGGGACTACAGGCACCCCCCACCATGCCCGGCTAATTTTTGCATTTTTAGTAGAGACAGATTTTCACCATATTGGCCAAGCTGGTCTCGAACTCCTGACCTTGTGATCCACCCGCCTTGGCCTCCCAAAGTGCTGGAATTACAGGTGTGAGCCACCGTGCCCGGCCTGGTGTCACGTATTAATGTGCGTCCAAGCCTTTCTATTTGAGCACATTGCAGAGGTGCATGCATGGCGGACGGTGATTCTGCAGCTAAGGGTACCTCCTCCCTGAAACTGTGCATCGGCCCCTCTACCCACCCCTTCCATTCTGAGGGTGATGCCTTCATCTGGGCTCTCTTAAAATCCTACTATTTTTGTGCAAATGCGAGTTCAAACTTCTGCCTGAAACACTGGTGGGGGGACACTATGCACCTTCAGCTTTAAATGGCATCTGATTTCCTACAGATCCCCTCCTCCAATCTGCACCCCCTCTCTCCCCCCCCACTCCCCCACCCCCGTCCTCAGCCTCCTGTCCTTCCCATTCTACGTTGCTAGCAAGGCTGGGGTGGGCGGCGCCAGGCAAGGGCTGAGGACTGCGGGGGACCCAGCTGCCAAGTGCATTGTGAAGTGGCTGGAGCGTCACAGGCGACCTAGACCTCGGGACCGGGGGGCGGGGCAGGTGTCTGCAGCGTCCTCTGGAGGTCTCAAGCCCCTTGCGCAGACGCTGCGCGTGCCCAGAGGGAGGATGGCAGGCTTCGGTCACTCCTCCCCGCGGTCCTACCTGGACCTCTGGGAACCCGCACAGCCCGGCGAAGAGCAAGAGTCCAAGCGGCGGCTGGGCGGACAGAGGTCTGTAGCCGATCCTGCCGCGTGCTCCTGGGCCGGGACTCCAGGTGCAGAGAGCGAGGATGCGGCGCCCTGGCTGCACCCGCACTGTTCGTTCACCCCACGCCCTGGCAGACGCGAGTGCCCAGACTCACCACGGGGCAGCCGAAGCCTGAGCGACGTGGCCTGCAGGCCACTGGACCGTGCCAGGAAGCACAGGCCTCGCAGCAGGCGCCTGGAAGATGCCTGGGGAGAGGCAGGAACCAAGCCCCGCCAGGCCTGGCAGCCGCAAACCCAGCTGCCAGGCAAACGGCAGCAGCCCTGCCCCCATTACCCTCTGGCCCAGGGAGACTCGCCCCCGCCTTACCCCGGAGGAGCTGGTACTCCCCTGAGTAGCACATTCAGGATAGAAAAGGCACAGGGTGGAGACCAGTGGGCAGTGCCGCTCAGCAGACGTCTAGGTCGCTGGTCCCCTTCCTCAGTTATCTCAGAGCGGTCTTCTGTGCCCTCCCAAAAGTTCAGGCCGCACTCAGCCTGCGTGTGCGCCCAGAAGAGAGACAGCAGCGACCAGGTTGAGTCATTGGCCAGCCAGGACTCCCAGCCCTTGGCCTCCAGCAAAGAGATGCGGAGCCCACATACCCAGGTGTTGAAGAACAAGCTGGAAGAGGCGGTGATGTCCTCCCGGGACCAGCAGATTGTGGCCCTGGTGCTGACCCGGCTCAAGAAGGCCCGACGGATGCGGGAGCTGCAGCAGCAGGCAGCTGAGGCCTGGGAGGAGCTGAAGCGTTCAGATCAGAAAGTCCAGATGACCCTGGAGCAGGAGCGCCGGCTGCTGCTGCAGCAGAACCAGGAACAGTGGCAGCAGGAAAAGGAGCAGCGCAAGACACTCCCGAGCCGTGAGCAGCGCAGCCGGCGGCGCGACAGCCAGGGGAAGAACGTGCCCCCTGGGGAAAGCCCGTGGAAGGAGCAACCGGAGGACCAGGAGAACCCGTGCCAGGGGAAGCTGGAGAAGGCGCGCGCCCAGGCAGAGCACCGAAAGCAGTGCCAGGTACGGCGCCTGCGGGAGCAGGAAAGGATGCTGCGGAACCTGCGGGAGCAGCACAGCCTGCAGCTGCAGAGGAGGCTGGCGGAGGCCTGTCGCAAGAGGCACCTGCATGCCGCAGAGGGCCAGAAGAAGGTCCAGGACACCAACCTGAGCTCCCTCATCAATTACCAGGCCCGGAAGGTCCTCATGGACTGCCAGGCAAAGGCCGAGGAGCTCCTTAGGCAGCTGTCCCTGGAGCAAGGTTTCCAGCGGTCCCAAGAGATACACCAGTGCCTGATGAAGGAGCGGCACCGTGAGCTGAGGGAGAAGGCCCAGAAGGAGGAGGAGCAGTTGCAGCAGGCCAAGTGGCGCGCAGGGGAGTCCGAGGAGCAGAGGAAGATGCACAAAAGGATTCTGGTGGAGCTGGCAGATGAGAAGATCCGGCAGGCCAGGAGTCACGTGCACAAGACCACCAGGGACAAGGTGCAGCACCTCCGGGAGCTCAACCACCTGCGTGAGAAGAACCACCACATCCTGAAACTGAAAGCCGAGAAGGAGGAAAAGTGCCACATTGAGGGCATCAAGGAGGCCATTAAGAAAAAGGAGCAGAGGGTGCAGTACATTACCCCAGGGAAAGACCCAAACTTACAGGAGTTCCGGAAGCTCCCGCAGGCCTCCAGGAGAGAGAACAGAGGGCCTGGCAACAGCTCCCTTGATCAGATAGAACTAGAGGCACGGCTCCCTGCCTGTCAGCAGAATGGGGGCTACTGAGAACCAAGGACGCCAGGCTTAGAGGGCGCAGCCAGAAGGAGATATGGCAATGTGATTCCTTTTATAATCTGATTATAATTGAACATTGATTTTTAAAAAGCATATAAAATTGCTGCAATTTCCTCTCATGAACTGGTTTATTGATTCACTTGGATAGTTTAGAGGGTTGGGGAGAAAATTTTGGGAATTTTTATGAAAATAACTTGGCTTTGTGAATTTTGATTTGAATAGAAAATACTCATTTAGCTCTCGAGTAATCTTAGAAACACACAACGGGCACATTTTGGAGATACCAGAGAAAAATCTATAGTCAGGGATACAGTTCTGTGATATGTCTTAAGTCTCTTCCTGTCCCAGAACTTATGGAAGGGTAAAGTATAAAGTACCAAGAAATCTCCAAGACAAAAAGAAATTTTAAAAAGGGTGAAGTGGGAGAATTCCCGTGAACAAGTAGATTTGGGAACCCTGCATACTATATCCTCTCTCAGGAGTTCATAATGCAATTTAAAATGTTAAGGGCTCTGAAAAAGCATGCAGTAAAGAAACTTATTTGTTTAATGTAGTGTTTTTCACAAATTATGGAGAGCTCCCCCCTTTATTTTCTCAGATAATTTCATGGAATTGATGTTCTGTGAAATATTTTTGGAAATGGCCCTCTATAGTTTTTACCTGATTGTCAACTTCTTTGGCCTTCCCTCCCTGTGTTAATAGGAAGTGTTTATAGCTCCATCAGCTCTATGTCTTGACTATTCCACCATAGCTACACCATCTGATATGGTTTGGCTGTGTCCCCACCCAAATCTCATCCTGAGTTGTAGGTCTCATAATTCCCATGTGTTGTGGGAGGGGCCCTGGGAGATAACTAAATCATGGCGGGGGTGGGGGGGGGTTCCCCTATACTGTTCTCATACTGGTAGTGGATAAGTCTAAAAAGATCTGATTGTTTTATAAGGTGAAACCCCTTTCACTTGATTCTCATTCTGTCTTGCCTTTCAGCTTCCACCATGATTGTAAGGCCTCCCCTGACACATGGTATGAATCAATTAAATCTCTTTTTCTATATAAATTATCCAATCTTGAGTATGTGTTTACCAGCAGCATGAAAACAGACTAATACACCATCTAAGAGCTCATTGAAATCTCCTTGGTCTGCTTCTTTTTTTGGTCAGTCCTATCCATTCTTATGAAAAAAATTCTAGCGGAATCTTTCTCTTCCCCTCTATTTCTCCTTTGTCTCTTTTGAAGGAGGTATGTGATGTCATTCTGTCTACCCACATTGTGTTTAATTAACCTAACCAGGCCCTGAATCAATGACTAAGCATGACTCAGTAATATGACATTTTAAAAATAAGGAGCCAAAAGTTAAATAGAAATTAACCCATCATATCTCAGGGTCTTTATTGAAATCTCTGAATATTTTCTTCAAAAAGCCCCTAGTGTCACATTTGTATTAGAGAGAGAGAAATAGAATAAGCCCCATTGGGAGCCTTATCTCTTATTAGTAATTCTAAAGCAACATTAAAAATAACCTGACAAGTGATTTTGTGCAGAGGTCAGTTTGAGGTCGACTTTCTCGGCTCTTATCATGGAAACCCAGGCCCTCTTCCCCATTCTGTTTTCTTCCCCTACCCCAGATCCCTTCTACATGGTATCCCCAAAGAGGCCTACTATGGGACCCGTACTTACTCTTCTGCTCAAAAATGTTCAGGGACACCCCCTTTGCTCAAAATGGAAGGGCTTGCATATCTTGTCTGAATTTCCAACCTTATTCTCTTCTCCTTGCCCAAGTTAATCCTCTGTTCAAGCCAAATGCCATATGCAATCCAAATATTCAAGAGTAATGCTTAAGACTTTTCAGACAGACTTTGGCATGAATCCTAGCTCTTCCTCTTAATACAGTTGTGTGAGCTGGAGAAGTTACCTTTTTTCACCTGTTTCCTTGTTTGTAAAATGGAAAATAATTCGTACTTCAAGGGCACGTTGCAAAGGATGATAAAAACTAATCCATGTAAGGTATCTGGCACCATGCCCAGAACCTGATACATATGCTATAGTTAAACATTGTGGGTTTTATTGTTAATAACACTGACCTTGCACTTTTGTCAGTTCCATTCTCCCTACTTTGGTGCCTTTTCCCAAGCTGCCCCCTTCCATCATATCCATGCCTGGGTTTTCTGAGCTTGGTTCATATTCTGCCTCTCCCTGGCTGCCTCATCTTGACATCATTCTTCACTGACAAGCTGCATGGCTCTTTGGGGTACTTAGTATACTGTTACTGCTTGTATGGCATATCTATTTTGCAATCCACATCTTGGCTTCCTAACTAGCCTACAAGCTACTTGAAGCCAGGATCATTGTCTTAGCCTTCTTTATACTATACTTAGCATGGTGGTCAGTACATAGTGAAAATAAAGGCCATAAAACAGGGTGTTTTGACTTCAGATCCATATCCCATGCATTTCCCCCCAATGTTCTTTACTTTTTGTTCCAATAAATAAATATAGACTTGGATTTTTTCCAATTCTTTGTGAATATTACTGGTAGAAATAATCTATACAAAATGAATTTAACAGAAATGGAGTAGACTTACTTTTTCTTATTTTCCCCTTAAGTACAACTAAAAGCCCTGAACATCATATATAAAACAAACATTGGAACACTCTGAAAGGTGGAGAGATGACAGACCAGCTGGTGACCTCAGGACCCAAGTAGCCATACAGTGGTAAATTTCCTGGGCTTTTTTTTCTTTTTGGCTTCATATATCCCTGACCTAGAGCTAAAGTAAAGAATAACCCCAAGACACCAACAAGTGCAGAAAAAAAAAAAAAAGCCCCAGCACAAGTCTGCTTTTTCCAGCCAAAAGACCAAGAAAGGGGAGCCTACCAAGAAAGAAACATTAGACAATAACCACTCTACTCCAACAAACACCATGGAAAACTCCACCCTTACCTTTGCCAGCAAAGACTGAGTGGGGAACCTAGACTTTTACCCTCGCAAGCTGAAACCAGGAGCTCCCTCCTACTGGCCTAGCAATGCCAGCAGAGACCACAGGGGAGCCTAGACTTTCAACCACTGCCTCCCCAGGCATCTCTCCCCACCTCCTCACTGGATGGTGTCAAAGGAAGACAAGTGGAGAGTTAGGACTTTTATCAGCATCCAGCAGGAACAAGGCTGAATACCCTCTTTGTAGTCCCCACCCCTGCCACCCTGTAGAGGCCACACAGGGAGCAGTAATGAGGCATTCCTATACCTCCCAGCCAGGGAGGTATCAGTAGAGGCCTGAAGGGGAGCCAGGACTCCCACCCTGATCAGCAGTGATAAGGTGCACACACACACACCTCAGGTGACAATGGAGGTGGAGTGGGGATCTGGATTTCTGTTCCCAGCTGGTAGTAATAAGGCAGTGCCCCCTTTCTTTTCTGAAGTGGTGTCATACAAAACAGGACGTTTAAATAAGTTCCAGTCTCATAATACTCAAGATGTCTAGGTTTCAACTGAGTATCACACCTTATACCAAGAACCAAGAATATCTCAATCTGAATGAAAAGATAATAAATAGATGCCAACATGATGACAAATGTTAGACTTACCTTAAAAAGAATTTAAAGTCACCATAATAAAAATGCCTCAATAAGCAATTATGAACACATTGAAACAAACAAAAAAGAAAATGTCTTCACATAAATAGAAAGACTTAGCAAATAAATAAGAAGTATAAAGAAGAACCAAATGAAAATTTTAGAACTGGAAAATATAATAACAAAAATCAAAAGCTCAGTGGATGGAGGGACTCAACAACTGAATAAAGGGAAAAAGGCAAGAATCCGTGAACTGGAAGACAGAACAATAAATACCCAATCAGAGAAACAAAATTTACTGGGAAAAACAATGAATAGAGTCTTAGAGGCCTATGAGACTATAACAAAGGATCTAACATTCATGGAATGGGAATCCAGAAGGAGAAGACTTGAAAAGTACTCAAGGAAACAATGGCTGAAAATTTTTCAAATGTGGTAAAGTATTAAACTCTAAAAGGGTAAACCCATAGAAATCCATAAGATACAACATAAACTTCTAAAACTAAAGACAAAGAAATTATTGATCAAGAATGTGAAAAAATAAGCCACAAACTGAGAGAATATTTGCAAAACAGTGATTATATTAAAATCAAATATAGTATACTTCAGAGCAAAGAAAACTACCAGAAACAGAGAGGAACACTATAAACTTATAATAGGGTCAATTCACCAAGAACACATAGCAATTCTAAATATGTATCAAACAACAGAAATACAAAATGTGTGAAGCAAAAACTAGTAGAACTATAGCTGGGCATGGTGGCATGTGCCTGTGGTCCCAGCTACTCAGGAGGCTGAGGTGGGAGAATCACTTGAGGCAAGAGGCAGAGGTTGCAGTGAGGCAAGATCATGCCACTGCAATCCAGCCTGGGTGGCAGAGTGAGACCTCGTGTCAATAAATAAATAAATAAAACTAATAGAACTGGAAAGACAAATAAATAAATCCACAATTATAGTTGAAGACTTCAATAAACAGCAAATCAGCAAGGATGCGGAAGAATACAAAAACACTGTCAACTAACAAGACCTAATCAACATCTATAGAAGACCCCAAGAGCAGTAGAATACTCATTTTTTTTTCCAGGCTATGGAGCATATATAAAGATAGAATATATCCTGGGCCATGAAACAAGTCCAACAAATTAAAAAAAAAACTGAAATCATACAAAATGGGTTTTCCAATCACAATAGAATCAAAATTATAAATCAATAACAGAATGATAACAAGAAATCATCTACTACTTGGAAATTAAATACTTCTAAATAATCCATACGTCAAAGTGGAAGTCTCAAGGGAAATCAAAAATTCACATTGAACTGAGTGAAAAATAAAACATGTAAAATTCGTGAGACACAACTAAAGCAGTGTTAAAAGGAAAATGTATAGCATTAAGTCCATACATTAGAAAAGAGGAAAGGTCTCAAAGCAATTATCTAGGCTTCCACTCAAGAACCTTGAAAAAGAGCAAAATAAACCCAAGGCAAGCAGAAGAAAGAAAATAATAAAGAGCAGAAAACAAGGCAAAAATAAAAACCAATAGAGAA